AGAAAGCCATGATACCGGGTTCGTTTTTCAAAATTTCCCAATCATGTAAGTACAAATAATCTTTCTCATAGTTCTTTTTAGCCAAGAGAATGGTACGTAGTTGCATCACACCCATTGCATAATAAATATTTGTTTCATCTAAATCTTCTATAGAGCAAATAGGAATATTTTTCTTTTGAACCCGCACAGAAAACATAAATTTATCAGTTTTGTAAATCCCAACGCCAATAGAAGGCATTATTGTGATACCTTTTGGACTTCCAAGATTCCAGTAATATTTCTTCTTCAACATTTCACATTCAAAGCTAAACAATCCGAAAGGAAAGTACAATACATCTTTGTGCAATACCTTATTTAAAATTACCTTTGCTGAATTGTATAAATTTCCAGGAATATCAAGTATTTCATAAACAGCAGCGTACAAGTCTGGATATTTAATTTTATCAATCAATTCAATGTACTTAGAGTAGTTGACAGTATTATTTTCCAACATGGCCCCGCCATCTTTACGCAAGAAACCATATTTTTTATTTACTGCTGTATCAGTGTCATCATACGATAAATACTTCTTTAATGACTTTAAATTATCATTGTTTTTAGCTTGTTCATATAAATTTTTATATTCTCCGTCTTTAAGTGATCGTTTGTAATTTGTTATCTAATAAGGTGTACCAATTTTTATAAAATCAGTCTTAGATGGAGTAGGTCTGGAGTAGATTGGTTCCATGTTAGAGTTTATAACTTTTTTAATATATTCATAGCATTGAGTTAACCTAGTAGAATTAGAACTATCGTCTTCGACAAGTAAATCATACATGGCCATTAAATGGGGAATATCGACGATATATAGTTCCCATTCTTCATCAGTTCCAAAAGTTTTACCCGCATTTATATTATTAGTTTGCGTCAAAACCTTATCTACAATTTTACCGGTTATGTTTAAATAATTAGTATTATTATTTGGATCTTTTAAATAATTGCGCAATAGTTTGATTCCTAAAAGACAAATTTCGCGTAGGTTGGCTTCCTGATTTAGATCTTCAAAACGATCATTTAGAGCATCATCTCTAATTTTAGTATCATTGTCAATTAGGTTATATTCATCAACATAAAATGACTTTATTGTATTCTTTATTTCAGTCAGTTTTAATGTCTCAACTGGTGTTGGGATTTCATCCTTTACTGGTGTCTCTTTGTCGTTACTTTTACTAAGAGATTTCTCTCCACTGAGATTTCTGGTGTCTTCAACAATAGCAGATTTTGTTTGGTCAGTTATTTCTTTGCTCTTGTTGTTGATCTTGGTCTCGTTGTTAATCTCCTTGGTATTGGTTTTAATCTCCTTGGTTGTTGTTGTTATCATCGTTGCTGTTTGACCATGGCTTGTAAATCCATATACCTACCACGGCAGAAACTAGAATAACAAGTCCAAATAAAGCAAATATTTTAGCTGGTCTCGAAATAGCTATTATCATTATTTTTACATTACAACCCTTTGTTCTATAAGAATACTTACTACGCCTGAATAATTTACACAATTAATTTGGTTATTTTTTTTATCTGTATTGTACATATCAGCGCAATATTCATTTAGACACTTCAGTTCATTTGGACACTTCATATATTGTCTATTTATAGTCAATTAATTATTGAATCACTGTGATAATATTTTTCTCATAGTTTGAACTTGACAATTATCATTTTTCACTAGATCAACAAGTTAAAAGTCATTATTAAGCTAGCTCTAAGTATTAGCATAATTTTACTATTTTCCATTATGATTTTCTTGGATAAAACAATATAAATTATTTCTACATATAATTATTTTTTTTCAAATATTATTATGTTACAAGATAATACAAGTAATTTTTTTTTTATTTCGCAATTAACAAAAATCAGAGCCGCCTTATTTTTCTGTTTCATTTGTTTAACTTCTGATGGGTCATTCCATGTCAAATCAACCAATAGTTGGAATCGACTCCTTTCGATTTGAACAAATTTTGGTCTGAAGTTTTCCTTTATCATGTAACAAAGGGTATGTATTTTTTGCATAATACCTTGTACTGATCTTAAAAGATTCTGAAAATTTTGAGAACAGTGTTTTTTGTTTTTTCAAAAATTTGAAATTTTGAATTTCAAAAAAAAATTTTTTTTTGTTTTTTGCAACTTCTAAATAAGGTAAAGTTATATGTGTAAATGAATTACTGAGTAAAAGATATCATGTGTTATAGGATGCCTGTGTAATAGCAATTCTGTATAATTGAAACTTTGGGTAAAAGAGGCACTGTATCGTATCATAGAAATATGAGCAAACGAATTCTGGGTAAAAGAATTGTGTCAAATACTACGTCTGGGCAATCGGATTATGAGTCATAGATCATATCACTAAGCCATCCAGTAGGCCAGAATTTTTGAATTATTTCGAAAAGATTTAGTAATGACTTCCATAAGTTTCCAGGAACATCAAGCGTGTTATAAACAGCAATGTACATGTCTTTATATTTAATGGTCTTATTCATCAAGTCAAAGCACTTGAGGGCTTCAGCTGGTTTACTTTTCAACTTGGTCTCACCATCGACACTTAAGACACCATATATTTCTTTTACTTCATCACTAGTGTCATACGATAGATACTTATTCAATAACTCTAAATTGTTATTTTTTCTAGCTTTTTCGTATAATTTTAAACAGTTCTCATCTTCAAGTGATCGTATGTAATTCGTTAGCAAATAAGGTGCACCAATTTTTATAAAATCAGTCTTAGATGGAGTAGAATTGAGGCAGGTTGATTCCATGTTAGAGTTTATAACACTATTAATATATTCATAGCAGTGAGTTAACCTAGCAGTATTAGAACTATCGTCTTTGACAATTAAATAATACATGGCCATAAAATGGGGGATATCAACGATGTATAGTTCCCATTTGTCAGCATCAAGAGTTTCACCCTCAGTTCGACTTCCAGTTTGCGTCAAAACCTTATCTACAATGTTTCTGACTGTGGTTAAATCATCAGAATCATGATTATGTAAATAATTGTGCAATAGTTTGATCCCTAAAACACAAATTTTGCGTAGGTTGTCATCTTTAGTTAGATCATCAAAATAATCATGTCGAGCTTTATCTTTAATTGTAATATCATCATTACTTAAATGATATTCATCATCGTGATAATGACGTATCATAGACTCCATGATTATCAGCTTGCTCTTGTAGGTTGCGTTTGGCTGGTGTTTGTAACTCCATATCAATATCGCGGCAGTAACGTAATAAACAAGAACAGCAACTCCAATTAAAACAAATATTAAAGAACGTTTCGACATAGCTATCATCAATATTTTTACAATTAAATCCTTTGTTCTATAAGAATACTTACTACGTCTGAATAATTTACACAATTAATTTGGTTACTTTTTTTATCTGTATTGTACATATCAGCGCAATGTTTATTTAGACACTTCAATTCATTTGGACACTTCATATATTGTCTATTTATAATCAATTAATTATTGAAATAATATTTGTCTCATAGTTTAAACTTGACAATTATCATTTTTCACTAGATCAACGAGTTAAAAGTCATTATTAGGCTAACTCTGATTAAGAAATTTTATTTTAAATGATTTGATAATATATATTGTATCATAATACTAGTGCATTTTCATTATGTTCATATATAAATAAAATTAATTTATGAATGTTTTGTTTTATCAAAAATTGTAAGATATTTATTATCTTATGTAAAAATATCTCACAATTAACTAATAGTTAATAGTAACTAGGGAGACCTAGTACTCCTTTAATGATTCTGCCATAGATAATGTTCTGGCTATCATCATCTGAAATCTCCAATTTATATTTCCAGGAACATGAAGGCAATTATAAACCGCAATGTACAAGTCGTTATATTTAACGATATTCAACAAGTCAAGGCACTTAAAGACATCAGCGATTTGTTTTTTTATTTGGCTGCCATCGTCAGGGAAGTCACCATATTTGTGACTTACTTCTTTAGTCATTAAATACTTATTCACTAACTCTAAATTCTTATTTTTTTTAGCATTTTCGAATAAATTTTTATAGGTCTCATCTTTAAGTGATCGTTTGTAATTTGTTAGTAAATAAGGTGTACCAATTTTTATAAAATCAAACTGAGATTTAGAATCTTTAGAATCAGTCTTAGATGCAGTAGGTTTGGGATAAGTTGATTCCATGTTAGAGTTTATAACTTTCGTAATATATTCATAGCATTGAGTTAATCTATTAGTATTAGAACTATCGTCTTCGACAATTAAATCATACATGGCCATTAAATGGGGGATATCGACGATATATAGTTCCCATTCTTCATCAGTTTCAAAAGTTGTTTTCGCAATTATACTTTTAATTTTCTCCAAAATCTGATCTACAATGTTACTGGTTGCTTTTAAATAATCAGTTTTACTAGAATCATGTAAATAATTGCGCAATAGTTTGATCCCTAAAACACAAATTTCGCGGAGTTTGTCTTCCTTACTTAGATTTTCAAAATTATTATTTAGAACTTTATCTTTCATTGTAACATCACTGTCATTTAGGTTATATTCATATAAATCAGCGTCGTATAATAACTTCATATCATTTTTAATCTGAGTCAGCTTTGATGACTTAATAGCTCTAACTTTTTTGGGATTTTCAACATGGTTGGTGGCTAACAATAGCGTGAAAGTTAATATACATGCCACGGCAGAAACTAGAATAACAAGTCCAAATAAAGCAAATTTTTTAGCACGTATTGACATAGCTATCATTATTAATTTTTCAATTAAATCTCTTGTTCTATAAGAATACTTACTAAATTTGAATAATTTAAACAATTAATTTGGTTAAGTTTTTATCTGTATTGTACATATCAGCGCAATATTCATTTAGACACTTCAATTCATTTGGACGTGTCATATATTGTTTATTTATAGTCAATTTATTATTGAAATCGCTGTAATAATATTTCACAGTATGAACTTGACAATTATCCTTTTTCACTGGATCAACAAGTAAAAGGTCATTATTAGGTTAACTCTGATAATAATGTAGATGATTATTTAATAAAAAAATTTTTTTCTCCATGAAGTTTTATTAACTCTGGATAATTTTTTCGAACGAGTCTAAAATCTTGCATATACTCTGACTTTTTCTATCAAATTAAAAAATATTGACGACTTATTAAGATTTTTTAGATTAAAAAAAAAAATTTTCAATTTCAGAGCTAAAAAAAATATTCTTTAAAAATTGCACTTATATTTTTTTTACAAACGAATTTTTTTTTTAATTTTTTTGTAATAATTTTTTCAATAAAAAAGAAAATTATTATAATTCTTAGATTTCTGCTAACTTAATTTTCATCTGTTAATTTCATTTTCATTTTCAGTTTTATTCACATCGACTACAAAAATAAATAAAAAAAATCGCTTGTTAAATAAAAAAAATTCATTTTTCAAATAGTATCAATGAAAAGTATTTTTTATAATTAATTCCTCATTTGGATGAACTTTTTTTATACATTAATGTTTCTTCATCACGAGTCCAAGTTTGACTATTATAGTTTGTGGTCTGTTCTCTTTCGTCACTAACTGCTCCGATTAAATAATCATCGCTACCACTTTTAACTAAATAATGTTTATGATCATCTAAAATTTCAATCTTATATTCTTTAGCCCCACAGGTCACAGTTTGTTTGGAAGTGTCAAAATCACATTGAAAACCAACATCAGAAGATTGATTTTTCAATATCATACTCCATTTAAAGTTATGTGTTGAATTATCCGATTCATAATAAGTCAGGTCAGATTGCGGATTTATTCCTCCATCAATATTTGTAATTGGAGTTTCAAAATTTTCTTTATAATCATTTTCAAAATAATAATGGATTTGATATTTACTATAATTAGTGGAGATTCTATATTCTATTACAATACCATTTTTATGTGCAACACCGTATTCTTTTACTTCTACATCATTCTCAGTTAATGACAATCCATAATAATTTTTCCAAAACATTAAATTATCTTCTGGTATTTGTCCAATGTAATTATCATCATTATCATCTATTTTTGATGAGTACAGATTAGATTCATTTGCTTTCAAAATCGGATACGTAAATTCGCTCATACCTTCATAGAAAGCCATGATACCGGGTTCGTTTTTCAAAATTTCCCAATCATGTAAGTACAAATAATCTTTCTCATAGTTCTTTTTAGCCAAGAGAATGGTACGTAGTTGCATCACACCCATTGCATAATAAATATTTGTTTCATCTGAATCTTCTATAGAGCAAATAGGAATATTTTTCTTTTGAACCCGCACAGAAAACATAAATTTATCAGTTTTGTAAATCCCAACGCCAATAGAAGGCATTATTGTGATACCTTTTGGATTTCCGAAATTCCAATAATATTTCTTCTTCAACATTTCACATTCAAAGCTAAACAATCCGAAAGGAAAGTACAATACATCTTTGTGCAATACCTTATTTAAAATTACCTTTGCTGAATTGTATAAATTTCCAAGAACATCAAGCTTTTCATAAACAGCAGCGTACAAGTCTGGATATTTAATTTTATCAATCAATTCAATGTACTTAGAGTAGTTGACAGTATTATTTTCCAACATGGCCCCGCCATCTTTACGCAAGAAACCATATTTTTTATTTACTGCTGTATCAGTGTCATCATACAATAGATACTTATTTAATGACTTTAAATTATCATTGTTTTTAGCTTGTTTGTATAAATTGTTATAGTCTCCGTCTTTAAGTGATCGTTTGTAATTTGTTATCAAATAAGGTGTACCAATTTTTATAAAATCAGTCTTAGATGGAGTAGGTCTGGAGTAGATTGGTTCCATGTTAGAGTTTATAACTTTTTTAATATATTCATAGCATTGAGTTAACCTAGTAGAATTAGAACTATCGTCTTCGACAAGTAAATCATACATGGCCATTAAATGGGGAATATCGACGATATATAGTTCCCATTCTTCATCAGTTCCAAAAGTTTTACCCGCATTTATATTATTAGTTTGCGTCAAAACCTTATCTACAATTTTACCGGTTATGTTTAAATAATTAGTATTATTATTTGGATCTTTTAAATAATTGCGCAATAGTTTGATTCCTAAAAGACAAATTTCGCGTAGGTTGGCTTCCTGATTTAGATCTTCAAAACGATCATTTAGAGCATCATCTCTAATTTTAGTATCATTGTCAATTAGGTTATATTCATCAACATAAAATGACTTTATTGTATTCTTTATTTCAGTCAGTTTTAATGTCTCAACTGGTGTTGGGATTTCATCCTTTACTGGTGTCTCTTTGTCGTTACTTTTACTAAGAGGTTTCTCTCCACTGAGATTTTTGGTGTCTTCAACAATAGCAGATTTTGGTTGGTCAGTTATTTCTTTGCTCTTCTTGTTGATCTTGGTCTCGTTGTTAATCTCCTTGGTATTGGTCTCTTTGTTAGTGTCCTTGTCGATGGTATTTTGGTCGTTGTTCTTCTCGTTGTTGTTGTTACCATCGTTGCTGTTTGACCATGGCTTGTAAATCCATATAACTACCGCGGCAGAAACTAGAATAACAAGTCCAAATATAGCAAATATTTTAGCTGGTCTCGACATAGCTATTATCATTATTTTTACAATAAAATCTTTTGTTCTATAAGAATACTTACTACGCTTGAATAATTTACACAATTAACTTGATTAAGTTTTTATCTGTATTGTACATATCAGCGCAATATTCATTTGGACACTTCAATTCATTTGAACACTTCATATATTGTCTATTTATAGTCAATTAATTATTGAAATCACTGTAATAATATTTGTCTCATAGTTTGAACTTGACAATTATCATTTTTCACTAGATCAACAAGTTAAAAGTCATTATTAGGCTAACTCTGATTAAGAAATTTTATTTTCAATGATTTAATTTTTGCAGAGTGACATTTGATAATTTTTATGATAAATAAATATTGATAAAAAAAAATATTTTATGCCACAACATAAATAAGAGTAGCCATTTGTCGTATATCTTCTTACACAAAAAAAAAAAAAGGTTTACTTGAGCCAAGAAAATATTTTCTCTTGCTCCAAAAAATTAAATATAAAGATAGAAGTAAATTAATTAGAAAATTTTCATTAATATTTTTATTGATTAACATGTCAAATGGGAAGATCAAATAATATTTCATCATTTTTTTTCATTCAATATGTATAATTGCACGCTAAAATAATATAAAATGTGTATCAAATATTCAAGAGAAAAATTTTCTCAAGGTGACAAAATTTTTTTCTCAGCTGAAGTAAGTGGCGTTGCATAAATAAAATAAAATTAACTTATGAATTTTTTTTTTCTTATCAAAAATTGTAAAATATTTCATGTAAAATACACTCGCGATTAAGGATTAATACGGCTTGCCTGAATTAAATCACTATGAGCCTTTGCAGCGGCCTCGAGTGACTTCCATATATTTCCAGGAACATCAAGCGAGTCATAAACAGCACTGTACAAGTCGCTATATTTAACGTTATCCATCAAGAGTGTGCACTTAAAGGATTCAGCTTGTTTATTTTTCAAGTTGTTGCCGTAATCTACCCGCAAGACGCCATATTTTTGTCTTACTTCTTCACTAGTGTCATACGATAAATACCTATTCAATAACTCTAAATTCTTATTTTTTCTAGTTTCTTTGTATAAATTTACACAGGTCTCATCTTTAAGTGATCGTATGTAATTCGTTAGCAAATAAGGTGTACCAATTTTTATAAAATTAAGCTGAGATGTAGATCCGGGGCAGGTTGATTCCATGTCAGAGGTTATAACTTTCGTAATATATTCATAGCATTGAGTTAACCTGTTAGTATTAGAACTATCGTCTTCGGCAATTAAATAATACATGGCCATTAAATGGGGTATGTCGACGATATATAGTTCCCATTTGTCAGTATCAAGAGAGTCACCTTTATTTATACTTTTAGTTTTCTCCAAAACCTGATCTATAATGTTAATGATTGCTTTTGGATAATCAATATTATTTTTTGAATCATGTAAATAATTGCGCAATAGTTTGATCCCTAAAACACAAATTTCGCGTAGTTTATCTTCCTTATCTAGATCTTCAAATTTATTATCTAGAGCTTTATCTTTAATTGTAATATCATTTTCTTTTAATTTATATTCATTATCGTAATAATTCTTCATCAGATACTTTATGAAAATCAGATTTGATTCTACAAAAAGTAATGTTTTCTTTATTTCCTTTACTGTCAATTTGTTGGCATTTGTTTTTACCATTGGCTGGTAAATCCATATAACTATCGCGATAGAAACTAGACAAACTAGAATAGCAAGTCCAAATATTTTAGTATCTCTCGACATAGCTATCATTATTATTTTTACAATAAAATCCCTTGTTCTATAAGAGTACTTATTACGCCTGAATAATTTACACAATTATTTGGTTACTTTTTTATCTGTATTGTATATATCACCGCAATATTCATTTAGACACTTCATATATTGTCTATTTATAGTCAATTAATTATTGAATCACTGTGATAATATTTTTCTCATAGTTTGAACTTGACAATTATCATTTTTCACTAGATCAACAAGTTAAAAGTCATTATTAAGCTAGCTCTGATAAAGAAATTTTATTTTCAATGATTTAATTTTTGTAGAGTCTGTATTTTTGACAGGTACTGAAATCAGCTGACTTTTGATAATTTTTGGAATTTTTATAATAAATTAATTTTTCTGCTCGACGTAGCCGGAATATGGCAACTTTGTTTAGCGCAGCGGCCAGAAAGTTGCCACTTTCCGGGTACGTCGAGCAGAAAAATAGTATACACACCTTGGCCAGTAAAAAGTAAAGCCTCAGATCACATGTTTGTCAACCTCGGCTTCGCCTCGGCCAACAATTACATGTCATCTGAGACTTTTCTTATTTTACTGGCCTAGGTATGTAATATATTATTAAAAAGGAAAAATATTTTTATAAAATTTGCTGATACACGGAAAAAAGTTAACTGTAATAAACAATAGTCGATTTATAATAAGTATATAATGATCAACTGGAAAAAATTGTCATTTCAAACAGTAAAATCGTGATTTTAACAATCACTTTATAATGAAACTATAAAAATTAACCGGAATCCGAGTGAATTTTACAGTTTACTTTTTTCCGTGTACTTAAATGATGATCTTTATCGTAAATTGGTTTTGATATTTTTTAGCGATAGTTATTTATGATTTTAATAATTGACAGAAAAAGGAAAATTTTGTGACGAGCATATAATTATTTTTTAAGAAATTTTTGTAGTTTAATTCGATATCACCAGAAAGGTCTTGATAATAAGAATTAGTGCTTTTTGGTTTTATATATTTTTTAGTAGTCAATTTTCTATGTCAAATTGTTGGAGGAGTTTTTAATAGTTTTTTAGTCCAATAAATTTGATCGGTCACATTTGTCCATTAAATTATTTGTAATTGAGCCTGTGATAGCACTATTATTTTTAAAATTGATTTAAAAAGTTCTCAAATTATGTACAGTGTGATTAATCACTGATTATAAATATAAAATAACACTGGTCTACAGTGGTTTTGTTGCCCTAGATATAAGATTGATTTTGGATATATTTATACTCACAATTCATAAAATTATGAATGATTTTGTAAGATTTGCTTTCGTTTTTTTTTTAAATACTTATTTTTATTTTACATTACAAAAATCGGAAAACGAGAAACAAAATAACAGATATATTTATAATGTCAGTTTTATTTGGATAAAAATATGATATATCGAAGTAAATAGAGAGGAAAATTTGGAAAACATGTTATATTTCCATAAAACGCCTTTTAAGAGCTTTTCTTTTATAATTTTTCCGGGGACAATCTCTTTTTAAAGACCAGCAGTAATTCTTCCATTACTTTCAGATCCTAGTGGAACCGCTTTCTTGTTCCTCACTATAATTTCCTAAATTATCTAGAAATTTATCCAAATGATTGCGGAGATAGTGTAAATTGATACTCATATTTGCTCCTAGAGTCTGAAAGTTTGTCAGCATATTTTGTACAATCTTCATAATTTGGTGCTTTATGGTTACCTAGGAAATTTTCAACTACCAACACAAAACTTTCCCAAGCTTCCCTTTCCGGAACAGTCATAACTTTAATAAAATCTGCGTCTTTTATCAATTGCCGTATTTGAGGACCATCAAATATTCCACCTTTCAACTTTTCCATACTAAGCTTCGGAAATTGTCGACAAATGTATTTAAAACAATCCCCTTCCTAGTCCAAAGCTTTAACGAATTGCTTTATCATTCCTAACTTAATATGTAATGATGGAAGTATGATTTTGTCTCTGTTCACCAACGGTTCCCTTATGACATTGGCTTTACCGACAGTTAGAGAATTTCTTGCAGGCCAAACATCTTGTTCCCAATGAAGTTGCTTTGCTCTACTGTCCCACATACAAAGGAAGAAAGGGTATTTCGTGTATCCACTTTGTTGACCAAGTAAAAAATTAACCATTTTCAAATCTACACAGATCGGCCACTGATGCTCCGAGTATTTAATTTTTTCTAAAACTAATTTTACATTTTCATATCCTTCTTTGAGTTTTGTTGAATGGGCAATTGGAATTGATCCAAATTTATTTCCATTGTGCAGTAAAACGCAATTTAAACTTCTTTTACAGCTGTCAATAAAAAAGACGCCACTCAGTAGGTTTGTATTCTTCCAAGCCCATGTCTAAAAGCAGCTTCGCAATATCAGTACAATATACCAGTCCTTCATTTTCATCAAAAAATTGTAATAGCTAACTTTCTCGCGTTCTGTATGTTGTAATTGTTACTGTTGGTGCAAATAAATTTTTTTCTTTCAATCTTGACGCTAACAGTTCTGATTCCTGTTTTGATAAATTTAGATCCCGTATCAAATCACTGAGTTCATTTTGAGAAAATAACTTTGGCGTAGATGTTTCACCCTCCCATTCACTTCCACTGGTAGACTGCTGTTTCGATTTCTGTGAATTCGGCAACATCATTGTTTCTGAGAACATGCGAATCCTTTTTTAAACGTAAACAGGCCGAGGGAGAGTTTCACTGTGTAAAACAGGACATTTTGTAGACTGTAAGTCTGAATATCTCCACGTTTGGTTTCGATTAAAACCTCTTTCTTCGCTCCGTCTTCCCCACTCACTCTCCGCGCCGGCGCTTCCCTCTTGGGGACTTACTCACTAACTTACAACTAGAGGCGCGAGTACTTCGGAGCACAGCGCTCTGGGGAATCAGTCGATAACTAACTCACGGATCGGAAACCTTCTCTGGGTAAAGAAGGCCCCGTGTACTCCGTTACAATCCAGATCATAGGAATACCAAAGTCTAATCCAAAACGTTTTCCTTTTTTCCACAACCGCAAAGACTCAAGACAGGACTTACAAACTTTATTCGGAACCCATGATTTATCTAATTTGTCCATTTTAAAACCGAAATATTAAGCCTAAGTCTCCTTAACAAAGTCTGTGATATTTCGTTTTTGTTTTTTTTAATATATAAATACCACAAATATCACAAAATAAATCACTACTATATTTACACTTTGTTCGTAACGAACTCATGTTTAAAAGGACAAGACAAATATATTAGAATGAACACTCAGCAATTGAATCAAAATATTAACATATGACAACTTATCCAGATTCACGTGTAAGTACTTCAATATTATCAAATAACTGAGTTATCAGCTGTTTTGCGGAGCAAGGAGTCTGAGAGTGGAGATCAAGTGATGTTTTTATGCGCAAAAAAGTTGCGCAGAAGCTTAATCAGGACTGGGAAAACAAATTTTAGTACTAACAAGCTGATAATTGTTCAAAATATAAGATACGTAAAAATCATAAAAAAAAGAGCACATTCAGTATTTTCATGAATATATTCGTAATTTAGGTACTCGAAAACATAAAAATTTGCAAAAATATCCAAGGCAACACAAAAAAAATTTTTTTTTGTAGAGCTGTGTAATCATTAAGCCAAAGTTTTCGCAATTTTGAGCGTTTAAGTATGGAGTTTGTCGGAAGTTGCTAGAACTACTTCTAACGAAAGTATCTCCGATGATCTATGTAAATTTCCAGGAACATCAAGGATTTCATAAACCGCAACGTACAAGTCTTTATATGTAAGGGTCGCATCAGTCATTAATTTTTTGCACTTAGAGAGTTCATTCTTTTTAATTTCTAACATGGTGCCACGATCTTCATGTAAGACGCCATACTTATTCTTTACTTCTTCACTAGTGTCATTCAATAAATACTTATTTAATAACATTAAATTCTTATTTTTTTTAGCTTCTTCGTATAATTTTTTACAGGTCTCATCTTTAAGTGATCGTTTGTAATTTGTTAGCAAATAAGGTGTACCAATTTTTATAAAATCAGTCTTAGATGGAGTAGGACTGGGGTAGATTGGTTCCATGTTAGAGTTTATAACTTTCGTAATATATTCATAGCATTGAGTTAACCTAGTAGAATTAGAACTATCGTCTTCGGCAATTAAATCATACATGGCCATTAAATGGGGGATATCGACGATATATAGTTTCCATTCATCATCAGTTGCAAAAGTTTTACCCGCTTTTATACTGTTAGTTTTCTTCAAAACATGATCTAGAATGTTATTGGTTGCTTTTAAATAATCAGTTTTTTTTGGATCAAGTAAATAATTGCGCAATAGTTTGATCCCTACAACACAAATTTGTCGTAAGTAGAGTTCCTGATTTAGATCTTCAAATGTATTGATTAGAGCTTTATCTTTAATTTTAAAATCATTTTCATATAATTTATAATCTGAACCATCCTGGTATTGTGACTTCATATTATTCTTTATGCCAGCCAGGTTTAATATCTTAAAAGCTTTATCTTCATTAAGTTTTTTGGTATCATTATTAATAGCAGGTTTTTCATGGTTGGTGCTTGACCATGGCTTGTAAATCCATAAAACTACCGGAGCAGAAATTAGAATAGCAAGTCCAAATAAAATAAATATTTTAGCACGTCTCGAAATAGCAATCATCATTATTTTTACAATTAGATCCTTTGTTCTATAAGAATACTTACTACATCTGAATAATTTACACAATTAATTTGGTTAAGTTTTTATCTGTGTTGTACATATCAGCGCAATATTCATTTGGACACTTCAATTCATTTGGACACTTCATATATTGTCTATTTATAATCGATTAATTATTGAAATAATATTTGTCTCATAGTTTGAACTTGACAATTATCATTTTTCACTAGATCAACAAGTTAAAAGTCATTATTAGGCTAACTCTGATTAAGAAATGTTATTTTAAATGATTTAATTTTTGCAAAGTGTGTATTTTTAACAGGTACTGAAATCAGCTGACATTTGATAATTTTTGGAATTTTTATGATAAATTAATTTTGATAACAAAAATATTTTGAAAAATTTGTTGATACTGAAGTCAGCTGACAGCTGTCAATTTTTTAATTTCTTATAACAAATCAACTTCAGTAATAAAAATGCTTCTAAAATTTTTCACTAATAATTTTTTTTAATTTTCACAAGTGGAATTTTTTTATTAAAATTTTTTCATTATAATTTCATTGCTAGAAAATTATGTAATCATAATAAAAATTACGAATTTTTTTTTGTACCAGTTCATATGTATCAACTCAATTATTATTATGAAGTAGCATAATTGAAATATTTTCCATTATGATTTTCTATGATAAAATAATATTAATTATTTTTTTTCAAATATTATTACGTCACAAGATAATATAAATAATTTTTTTTTTTTTATAAGAGAATAATGTTTAATAATTCTATGTATATTGAATACATAAATAAAATTAACTTGTAAATTTTTTTTTTATCAAAAATTGTAAAATATTATTTTATGTAAAATATCTCGTGTGATTAAATCTCAGAAGTTCTTGCCCGATTTATTTCATCAAGAAGTGCTACTAATGACATATACGACTTGTAGACATTTCCAGAAAGGTCAAGCGTTTCATAAACAGCAATGTACAAGTCTTTATATTTAATGTTATTCATCAAGACAAAGCACTTATAGGCTTCAGCTTGTTTATTACTGAACATAGTGTCGCCATCGACCCGAAAGACGCCATGTTTTTGTTTTACATCTTCACTAGTATCATACGATAAATACCGATTCAATAATTCTAAATTCTTATTTTTTGTAGCTTCTTCGTATAAATTTACACAGGTCTCATCTTTAAGTGATCGTTTGTAATTCATTAGCAAATAAGGTGTACTAATTTTTATAAAATCAATCTTAGATGGAGTAGATTTGGAGCAGGCTGGTTCCAGTTTAGATGTTATAACTCTATTAATATATTTATGGCATTCAGTTAACCTATTAGTATTAGAGCTATCTTCTTCGACAATTAAATCATACATGGCCATTAAATGAGGTATATCGACGATATATAGTTCCCATTCTTTATCAGTTCCAAAAGTTTTACTCGCATTTATACTATTAGTTTGCGTCAAAACCTTATCAACAATTTTACCGGTTGCGGTTAAATAATCAGTTATTTTTGGATCAAGTAAATAATTTCGCAATAGTTTGATCCCTACAGCACAAATTTCGCGTAGGTTGTCTTCCTGAGTTAGATCATCTTCAAAAGTATCATTTAGAACTTTACCTTTAATTTCAATATCATTGTCACTCAGATTATATTTATCAATGTAAGATATCTTCATTCTATACTTTATGAAGATCAAATTTGATTTTACATAAGGTAATGTTTTAATTTTATCCTTTGTTACTGTCTCTATTCTGTTGTTGTTGCTGTTTGACTGTGGCTGGTAAATCCATATCACTATCGCGGTAGAAACTAGAATAGCAGCAATAAGTCCACATGAAATAAATATTATAGAACGTCTCGAATTAGCTATCATAATTGTTTTTTCAATCAAATCCCTTGTTCTATAAGAATACTTACTACGCCTGGATAATTTACACAGTTAATTTTGTTAAGTTTTTATCTGTACTGTACATATCAGCGCAATATTCATTTAGACACTTCAATTCATTTGAAGACATTTCATATATTGTCTATTTATAGTCATCAATTAATTATTGAATCACTGTGATAATATTTGTCTCAGTTTAAACATGACAATTGTCATTTATCACTAGATCAACAAGTTAAAAGTCATTATTAGGCTTACTCGCTGATTAAAACATTTTATTTTAAATGTGTTTATTAGGTACTGAAATCAGCTGACATTTTTGGAATTTTTATAATAAATTAATTTTGATAAAAAAAATATTTAAAAAATTTTGATGATACTGATGAAAATGAAGTTAGCCGAAATTTCAAAATTTTTAGAAATAATTTATTCAAAAAATTTCAATTAAACAATTTAAAAAAAAAATGTCACATGTAAAAAACTTTAAAAACTATAAGTGCAATTTTTAATAAATATCTTTTTAGTAGTAATTTAATTAATAAAAAATAATCAAAATTTTTTACACGTCTTTTAACTTCAGTGTCATTTTTTTTTACTGATTGCTCGGTTTACGATTTAGTACCTTTTTCATGAAAAAAATAGCATCTATCGGCGATTCTCAACATGTTAACTTTTAAGTTAATAAAAATATAATTGTTTTGATTTATAATTAAAAAAAATTCAAGCAATCAATTCCATGAAAATAAAGTTAGCCGACATTTAAAAATTTTTATAATTTTTTTTTTTATTGAAAAAATCATTACGAAAAAATTAAAAAAAAAAAATTGCACGTCTAAAAAACTTCAAAAACTGTAAGTGCAATTTAAAAAAAATTTTTTTTGTTCTAATTTGATTATTAAAAAAAAATCAAAAAATTTAGAACGTCGGCTAACTTTAATGACATTACTTTACCTTATAATTTTTTTAATTTTTACACGTGAAATTTTTATGAAAATTAGATTTAGCAGACATGTATTAATTTTAAGAATTTTGGTGAAAAATAAATATTGCAAAAAAAATTAGGAAAAAAATATGACATGTAGAAATTAAAAATGCAATTTTTTAACGATAAATTTTCAAAAAAATTTATTTGTTAAAAAAAATTTTTAAAATGGCCAAGTGACTTTTTTAAATAACAATTTAATTGTTATAAATATCTAAAAAATTAACAGATGTCTCTAGTAATAAAAATTTTTCATAAAAAAAATAAAAATTTGAATTTCTCGCGGGAATTTTAAACTTATCCAACTAGCGCGCCCGCGAGTTCATTTTAGTAACTAAAATATCGAATGAAAATTCGTCAGTTGCTCCTTAACTGTGTGTGTATGTCTGCGCGACAAGTGTGCGTGGATTTTAGCGACCCGATAAAAACCAACCAAGTGTGTACGTAATTTTCACCGTCTCCTCCATTAAATAACTCCTTTAGATTAAAAATGATATTATAAATATTCTTAAAACTCCAAAAAATATAATAATACCCTTAATAAGCAGAACCGTGGGCAGTAAGTCCACGTGCTAATTAAAACAGTGGATTAACATCCGTGCAAGACATTTTATACTCATACTTATAATCTACATAATAATAGATAGTAAAATAAACCGTCCACAACATCATGGATCGGCGGAAAATGTCGTGAGTATTTTTTTAATTACAATAAAGTTAGCTTGACAATTTTTTAATTTTTTTTTTTTAATAAATAAATTTTGCTCCAAAAAATAATTTGTAAAAAATTTGATTTTTTATTTTTTTAATTTTCTCAATTTTTTTTTCTTAATTTATTTAAAAAAAAAATTATTAAAATATCTTCTAAATTAATTTTTTTTATTATGGTGTAAAATAATTTTTAATGGACCTAATAAAAAAAAAAAAAATGTCTTCGATTTTTTGTCAGCTGGTTGATTTTTTTACTTATTTAATTATTTGTTTATTTTTAAAAAAAAAAATTATTCAAGTAATTAATAATGAAATTTTATTTAAAAAAAAAAAAAAATGCGTGAATAAAATATTCATTAACATTTTACTTGTCATATATACTGAGTGACCTTGACTCCACCCCGCATTTGTTGATAATAAATATTTATTTAATTATTATTATAGAAAAAAAAAATATTTTAAACATTAAATTGTAAATTTGTGTGGTATAATTACGCCTGTAATTTATTTTGAAATAATATTGAATAATACAAAATTGATTTATATGACAATGATAACTGATCGGCTGATAAGGCCTAGCTCTAGCTCTATTATTATTGTTGATTTTTAATCGATGTTGCTGAAGCGCGAGTGTGTTTAATATTTACAGAATATTAATGTAATATAAAGGAGTGAAGGAACTTGATAGATGATAGATGGATTTATTGAGTAAATAAGAGTGTATGTTTAAGATATTGATTTTTATTTAATGAATGTGTTACAGAACATCGGGGGATTCCCTCTACCAAATATTAGAACTGCCCAAGACTGCGACTGCCGATGAAATTAAAAAAACTTATAGGAAACTCGCTTTAAAATTTCATCCGGATAAAAATCCTGGTAATCCAGAAGCTGCTGAGAAGGTTTCTTTTTTTTTTTTTTTTATTTAATATTAATTAATAATCACAATATTCAAAATAAAATTTTTTGTTTGAATATTTTAACAATAAATTGTTGAGGAAAAATTTAACTGCAATGTAATTTTTTAAGAAAAGTAATTATTTTAATAATAATTAAAGTAAAGTTAACCGACATCTAAAAATTGTTATAATTTTTTTTATTAAAAAAATAAAAAAAAAATTTTTCAATTGTAAAACAATTCAAAAACTATAAGTACAATTTTTTAAAAATATTTTTTTGTTCTAATTTAATAAATTATGCAAAATCAAAAAATCAAAAATGTCGGCTAACTTTATTGTAATTTATTAATAATATAGTTAGCCGACATTTTTTATTTTTTGATATTAAATTAGAACTAAAAAATTTTTTTTTAAATGCACTTGAAGTTTTTCAAATTTTTTACAAATTAAATTAAAAAAAAAATTTTTTTTTTAATGATTTTTTTAATAAAAAATTTTTAAATGTCGGCTTACTTTATTGTCATATTATTTTAATTGGTATGACATTTAAAAATTTTTATAACTTTTTTTTTATTGACAAAATCATTACAAAAAAATAAAAAAAAATTTTTATTTGTAATAAAAATTGAAAATCTATAAGTGTAATTTTTAAAAAATATATTTTAGCTCTAACTTAATGAAAAAAAAATTTTTAATGTCGGCTATCTTTATTATTATCGAAATATTTTAAAAATCGCGTGTGAGAAAATTTTAAATTCTAATTGAGTCAATTATTGATTTTTATAAATTGGTAAATTTTGTTTATTAGTAAAAATAAAATTGATTGACAGTCGCATTTAAATGAAGCGATTGTTGTATTTTATCTGCTGATAAAGACAGATGGTTATATCTATTGCTCATAAAATTTGATACTAGATTTCTTGGAGATCTATTATAATACCAAGTAACTCACATAACTGGTTTATGAATCAGATTTAGAAATAAATTTTAAATTAATTTAATATTATTTTATTATGTAATTTTCTTGTTATTTAATTTTCAATTTTTTGGTCAAATTTTTTAGTAAACGATTCTTTTCATTTCAAAAATAATTTAATATTAAATTATAATGTATTTTTACACTTAGCTAATTGTCAATTTTTAGTGAGAAAATTTTTTTTTATTTATGAAATAATTTAATAATAAATTATAATGTATTTTTAATTTTTAGCTAATCGTCAATTTTTAGTCAAAAAATTTTTTTTATTAACAAAATAATTTAATCTTACATTATAATGTATTTTTTTGTTATTTAATTGTTAAATTTTTAACCAAATATTTTTATTATTAATAATTTAATTAAATAAAAATTTTTTGTTTCAGTTTAAAGAAATAAATAAAGCTCATACAATATTAACAGATTTAACAAAGAGAAATATTTATGACAACTATGGATCATTCGGTTTGTATGTTTCGGAGCAATTTGGCGAGGAAAATGTCAATACATACTTCTTGATGACCTCTGGATGGTGCAAGGTAAAAATTTATTCCCCATTTCATTCATAAAAAAAAAACATAATTAATAATTAATTAATTAATTAGAACAAAAAAAAAATGAATATTAAAAAAAAAAAAACAATTTATAGGTAATCTTCGGAGTATGCGCCATTCTGACGGGTTGTTACTGTTGTTGCTGTTTCTGTTGCTGTTGCAACTTCTGTTGCGGTAAATGTAAACCGACACCACCTGCCGACAGTGGTGATTACCACAACCTGCAGGTACTGATTAATTAATAATTTTCATTTCTATCATTAAGATTTATTTAAAAAAAAAATTTAAAAAAAGAGAAAAAAATACAGAGCAGAAGGGCCTGAGGATGGTAAAAAATATTAAAAAGTTACATAAATTAGAAAATTCATGTCACATCAAATCATTAATGTTCATTATTATTATTACCGTGGGCTCACTGATTAAACTTGTGGATGCTGTTGATTAATTTATTATTAATTATTAATTAGTGTGCTGTTAATTTTTTTGACTTAACAAAGCTGCATGTGCCTACGTGTTTGTCTAGTAATTATTACTAGTCTCCATTGCTAATACCCAGAGGATCTGAGGTACGTCGATTAATTTTAAATGTACAGGCCTTTGATAAATCCGGTCTCATGGTGTAATATTTTAAATACAGGTGATTATTTATTTTAAAGCTTGCAATGTTTTAGCTACTGCTTTATTCCTTTTTTTTTTTATAATTATTTCTTTTTAAAAAAAAAAAAAAAAAAAACGAGTGAATCTCTTTTCCATGCAGTGAGTAAGTATTATGTAATATTAACTGTAATTAAATTTTTCCGCACATTCATTATTAATTCACGCATGGAGCGAGCTTGTTTAAGTTTTTCACCTATCATTTATTTTTATTTTATTTTTTCAGCACATTTTTTTTTTTTTTCCCACATTAATCATATTGTCCATAAGAAAAATCAGTGACGTATTTTTGATAAATAATGTATTTACTTCTCACTGAAAAATAAAAATGAATAATTATTTATTTATTAATTTGATAAATTATCAAAATTTTTAATAATAATAATTATTCATTTAAAATATAAATCATGTATTATCTAATATTATTTATATAATACGGCAATGTATCCTTGGCACTGGAACTCCGTGCTCATATAAACATTCAACATCTACATTTTAATCATCTCATTGCTCTATAGCAAAGCATGGCTAATTTTTTTATTTAAATTTAAAATGAAAAAAATTTTTAAATCAAAATTTCGAATTGAAAAATTAAATTCAAAATTAATCTTGAGAATTCTAATAAAAAGTCAATTAGATTTTCATTGCCAAGCATGCCCCGCCTTAATAATTGTTTTTTTTATAATGTATAATTTAAATGCATTTAGAATTTTTGGTTTATTAGAGCAGTTTTAAGTTGTTGTTGTAATTATAGCAGGGCCAGAATTCCGGCGGGCCTACTAATTCAGTACACGGTTTAAATAAGGTATGTATATAAATGTGATAATTTAATAATTTCATTCATTTTTTTTTTTTACTAACTATTTGTATTATAATTATATTAACATATGATAATTACTTAGGTATTTATTTTCATTTTATTGCATGATGTTAACTATTTCATTTATTCATTTCAATAGTTCAATTAATTATTCGTTTGTAATTAGACTAACGCTCAGCAATTAGGCTTATTTAATTTTTTAACGCTTAGGGTTATTAATTTATTAATATTTACGGCGTTGTAATTAATCTAGGATATTTTTTTTATTATTATTTTTATATAACATTATTTTATTATAATTTTTAGAAAAAATAATTTAAAGATTTTAATAATCAATTTTTTAACTTTGATAAATTTTAAGCTTAGCAATCTTTTTAACATACTTACGTCAATAATAATAAAAATACTTGTGAACTACAAATAAATAAAATTTTGCTTTATTAAATAATAACTTTTGTTAAATTACATTGTGCTTTCTTAAATATTGACGTTTTTGAAGATATAAGCTCATCTCGATGTTACGCTCATCAAGAGCTTTCATTTAAGTACCCACATGCATTTTTGGTATATTTTTCATATATATACATATATATAAATTTGTAAATATATGAAAAATTGATGTGGGTACTCAAATAAAAGGTCTCGATGAGTGTGACTTCAGGATGAGCTTATATCGTTAAAAATATCATCAGTGAACAAAATACAACGTCGTTGCTTTATTAATTACATTTTTAAAGATATAAGCTCATCCTGATGTTACCCTCATCAAAAGCTTTCATTTGAGTACTTACATGCATTTTTGATATATTTTTCATATATACATATATATAATATATATAAATATATGAAAAATTGATGTGGGTACTCAAATGAAAGGTCTCGATGATTGTAATGTCAGGGTGAGCTTATGTCTTTAAAAATGTCATTAGTTGACAAGATACAATCCCATTTCTTAAATATTGACATTTTTGAAGATATAAGATCGTCCCGATGTTACAATCATCAAGAGCTTTCATTTGAGTACACACATGCATTTT